TAAGCTTAGAAGTTTTCATGCAGGCCCCTACATTTGTACCCTAAAGTTCAAAGTGGGGATACAGCCTTGACACAGCCTCATAACTATATACATGAAATTACAACCTATAACCTAACATTACTATAACAACTTGATGCTTAGTGCATCATGAGCCATCCGAAGACACCTGACATGACAAACTTTGCATTGGATACCACACAATCATATTATAAGGATGAACATGGGGGTGCAGGGTGTTCCCCTGAGATACAGTGTCACAGTCAGTCTCTGTTCCTCAGCTCCCCATCTGTAACATGGGGATAATAGCACTTCCCCATCTCACATGTGTGTATTCTTGCAGCACCCCTAACAGTTTGTGAGGTGCACAGATACTACAGTAATGGGACTATGTAAGTGCCTATGATACTTACGGTTGCCAACCCCAGTACTGTAAACATTTAAACTGATGCAAGTCTGTAGAATATAACTTTGTTGGATTCTGGATCTCTTACTAAATTTAGCCCACGTTTATTGAAGTTTGGCTCAGGATTGGCTACAGCTGGGCTTAAGTAAACGATATATGGTTTGAAATGAAAGCCCTTCAAAGATCAGTACTTGGAGTTGTTTTACTTGTAGGGGGCCAGGATTTGAACCTAAGTGTTTGGGTTCATCTGATTGCAAAACTCTGAGTGAAACTCAAAGGGGTGCAGACATCTGAGCACCAAAAACCAAAGAAAATTACCATCTTTCCCCTCCACTCTTCTTTCCTCCATTTACTTTATCCCTCTATATTACATTGCTGCTGCTGGGAGCAGACAAACCACTTCCTCACCCAAAAACTTTGTGTTGTTACTTTTAAAAGGGCTTTATCTCACTGTTGCAGGTTTCCATAGCATTCACATCGGTATGACAGCCTTGTTTAAAGAAAAAATTAGAATTGTCTTTATTGAAGGGCAAACATGGAATCAGTAAAGGGATTCATGATCCCAGGATCAAAGGTCTTCTAAGTTCACAAACACATTTTAAAAATCAACATGATAGGGCTTGTGTTTCATTATGGCATTTACAGTATAATAGGAAGTAAGCTGTGTGATAAACTTAGATCCTTATGACTATGCTTCAGGCAAATTTAATTACTGCTGAGATTTCAACTCAGACTTCAGCCAGCAAGTAAATGCATTCCTGAATATGCAAAAGTGCCATAATGATGATAAATCATAGACCAAAATAAAGAAGTTTTGCCAAGATGGATTCCCATACAGACAAGAATACTCCAAGGTAGAAATTTTCTACTTAGGTCACAAGCACTTTCTTTCTTGTTAGCTATTTATTCAAACAAACAAACAAAACCCCCCACACATAGTCGGCTGAATCCTTCTTGGACTTCCATAGGGCCATTAGAATGGAAGTCAATGGGAGGTTCTCAGTAACTCTGAAAATGAAGCCCCTGGCATTCTATGAAGCAGCATGTTGCAAGTCTCCTATGAGTTACCCTGAAATCATACACGACAGTACTCAACATCTCATATGATCTCGTTGACTTGAATGGGAAGGGGGGCGGAATGTTAATCATGTGAGTAAAGCAAGCAGGAACAGGGTCCCTACATCTAGCCATTTGTCAAAAAAAATTAAAAACCTTTCATTTAAGTTTACGTGAAAGTAGTCAAAGACTGAGATTTGTACTTTTGTTGTTAACCGTTTCATTAATCACTTTTACATATACATTTTTAATCTCTCCTGGAGGCTCAGGTGGATTGCACTAGGGAAAACATTTATTTTAAGAGAGGACTTGAAGAACATTTTATTCCAATTGACATAAGGATTGTGTAATTATTATGTAATTTTTGTGCTTTGTCATAGCAGTGGAAGATTACCCCTCTCCCCAGAATATTCAGTCATTGATGAGAGCTAAGAAAAGGGGAAAGCTTTTTTTTTTCTTCAATTAAGCTGATTGCCAGAATTTTACTCTGTATTACAATAGTAATATTCATGAAGTGATTTTAAGCCAGCTACTTAGCCCATAGAGTCCTGTGGCTGACGAAGTGCGTATTCACCCACGGAACCTTATGCTCCAATACGTCTGTTAGTCTATAAGGTGCCACAGGACTCTTTGCCCTTTTTTACAGATCCAGACTAACATGGCTACCCCTCTGATACTTAGCCCACGTTTATTTGTAGGCTGTACCTACTAGCATATAAAGATAATCTTGTTGGTATGAGGTTGAGTTAGATAATGAAAAAACAGATTTGAACATGCACATATAGCTCAATTTTAGTTTGCTGCTGCTGGTAGGGGCCATAGTATCCCATATCTGAACCACTGCTGAGTATTCGTGCAAAGGTTTGAGAGTCCCAAGAGTCTGGTGAATTTGAAGCAACAATGGGATAGCCATCATTTCTTTTCCTTCTGGTAAGAATTTGTCAGTCAGTCAGGGGAGAAACAATTAAAAATGACCAGTCACATATCACCAACAGCAAATACTCGAATCGTACAGTTCCTGAATTACACATCGTTTTAGAATTCATTTAAATCGAGCAAATAAATTGCCTACGGGATCCCCATAAAGACAGTTTACAAATTAAGGATCATTTATGGCAGGGGTGGGCAAACTCTGGCCTGGGGGCTGCGTCCAGCCCTCCAGACGTTTTAATCCGGCCCTTGAGCTCCCGATGGGGAGCAGGGTCTGGGGCTTGCCCAGTTCCGCGCGGCTCCTGGAAGCAGCAGCATGTCCCCTCTCCGGCTCCTATGAGTAGGGGCAGCCAGAGGGCTCCACATAGGAGCCAGAGGGGTGACATTCCGCTGCTTCTGGGAGCTGCTTGAGGTCAGCACTGCCTGGAGCCTGCACCCATAACCCCCAAACCTCTGCCCCACCCCTGATCCCCCTCTTGCCCTCCGAACCCCTCAGTCCCAGCCTGGAGTACCCTCCTGCACCCGCAACCCCTCATCCCCAGCCCCACCCTAGAGCCCGCACCCCCAGCCGGAACCCTCACCCCCTCCGACACCCCAACCCCCAATTTTGTGAGCATTCATGGCCTGCCATAAAATTTCCATACCCAGATGTGGCCCTCGGGCCAAAAACTTTGCCTACCCCTGATTTATGGTATAATGGCCACAACTTTTTTTAAACAAACATATGTGAATGTAAACAAATGAAGGAGGGACATGAACATAGGCTTGCAGCAAAATGTGGTTGTAGCTAAACAGCCTGAGCATGAACCACTCCTTTGTCCTGATTGACAGACCCCAAAGTCAAAATGGGTACTTGGCTAGAGATACCATCAGGCCCACTCAGCCCTAGACGTGGCTTTCACCACGCCACACTTCACTCCCACCGAAGAGAGTTAGAGCCACTGCTGGAACAGACTCCAGGAAGTCTCAGCCTGTGAGCCTTTCATTCCAAGCACACATGGATTCCACAGTTGTGGAAAATACATATTCCATTTTACTTGCCATGCCTGTGCAAACAGCTGAACAAATTTACCCAGCTGCTGCTGCAAAGACTACATCCACCCCCAAAGTTGTGCCATGATGTTGAGGAAGATCCTCAACCTAAACGCAATTCTGGCTTAGCTTGAAGAATAAAGGAAACAATAGTTAGCATCACAACAACAAAGAGCAGTTATACGCCAATATAATTTTCTGAGGATGAGAAACAACTGCTTGGCCTAATACCTGCACAGGCAGATGTAAAGGAAAAAACTTTCTGCAGTAGCAAAAGAGTCTGAATGACCCTTTGTTCCCTTCCTGGGCCCAGCCTAAGGCTAGGTCTACACTACCCGCCTGAATCAGCGGGTAGAAATCGACCTCTCGGGGATCGATTTATCGCGTCCCAATCGATCCCCGAATCGACACTCTTACTCCACCAGCGGAGGTGGGAGTAAGCGCCGTCGACAGGAAGCCGCTGAAGTCGATTTTGCCGCCGTCCTCACAGCGGGGTAAGTCGGCTGCGATACGTCGAATTCAGCTACGCTATTCATGTAGCTGAATTTGCGTATCTTAAATCGACTCCCCCCTGTAGTGTAGATGTACCCTAGGTGTGTGCACAAGGGTGCAGCTCCCT